TACTTAGTCTAGATTTTACTAGATTTTAACTTTCTTTGTATTTTTGCTGCATAGGATTTGATATAATTTTATTTCACTATAATTTGAGATGCCTTAAACTAAAGTAAAACATTTTTCAGGCTGAATGGTCAATAGAAAAGTAAAGTACAGAAAGAAACACGTGAAAAAAGTTACATATGGAGGTTTATTTTGATCTGAGCATTTGAAAACTTCACTTAAACAGAACCTGATTGGAAATCTGACCACTGAGCAAAGATACGTTCAGTCATTTTCGGTAAACCTCCATGTTCGTCGGTTACAGTGGAAGTGGCAGAGGATTAACAGGTGTTTCCTTATCTGACTTTTGTTCTCAAACACAATAAAACCATTATATTAAAAAAAGAGGAACCACTTTAAAACTGAACGTTCAGCCTGAGGCCCATCCTACACCATCTGGACACACACTATGCTTCACCATTCCAAAGATACAGAATCAAGAAAATAACCTGCATATTATTAGATCTAATTCAGACGATTTAGCCGTCCAGATGTAAAGATTTATTCCAGATCTGCTGCAGTAATGATGCTTTGAAAGCAGGACAAAAAAAAAACAGAGATTCAGAGTTTAACCCAAACACAGTCACATGTGTATTGCATTAGAAGACAGCCTATGATTCATCACATCAGGATGTTTTTATATACACATTATGTACTGAGATAAGCTGCATGCAGCTGTTGTTCCCCAGAGTGGGCAGTGAAGCTAAACGGTCACGAGTGTCTGATACATGAGTGGCAGAGGGAAACAAAAGCATGTTCAATGACGCAGGCTTAACGCCTGCTACTCTTTTAACAGGAAATAAAAATATAGCTTAGAGTGTGGGATGGTGAGTTAAAGCTGAATTTATTTAACGCTGCGATATGAAGTGATGATGAAAAGGAAGTGTTGCTGTAGTAACCGTCTGTGTAGACAGTCTGGCACGTATGCAAACAGTTTCAACCTCAGTTACCTGCTTCCCTGCAATAAAACAAATATTGTCACTTCCAGAGCTTTGATATCCATCCTCTACCTAAAATGTATCTGTGTGTCAACCACATAACATGGAACTGGATTTTAACAGATCACAAAGTCCCTTTCTTCCACCCAAAAGCACATAAACAAAAACATTACCCTATAATAGGGCAGTTTATCACCTCATTTGGCATTGCCACTAAGTTAGATGAAAGAACTGCCCGATTTTATGCAGGAGAGCCACAGATACAATATCGCTTGTTGATCTTTAAAAACACTGGATCCATTATGCAGTATCTTTCATCACGCCTTCTCTGCCCGGTCCCTCAAACGTCTCTCAAAGTTTGTAATTTGTTTTCTAAAGGGGAAGCAGACTAAAGGTTTCTGGCACAAGTTCACCTGTTTCTAAGAAGAAGATGTCTGAGTAGGTCAAAACTCCAGGGTCAGTAGTGTAAAGATGAACTTTGTTGTGAGACAAGTGTTTTGTGTGGCGCAGGTTTCTTTTGTGCACTAAAGGGCAGCTTCTTTCCCCATAAATTTAATGCAAATACGATACAATTGCAAGGCTTACATTACATGATATAACCACGTGTTTCCAATACACCATGCATGCAGAAAACAGAATTAATTTTCTGCCAGAAACGTCTGTACTTTGATTTGTATTGTCAGAGTTGCATGAAGCCTTTAAATCTTTCAACTGTTCTGTGTTACAGCCCTGAAAAATCAACAGTATAACACGCAGCTCACATGACATTCTTTTTGTTTTTCGCATACAGGTAGATGATAAAGTCTAGAACGTTTCCAGAGTGGGATAAAAAAGATTTTGTGAATTTCTTCTTGAATACTTATCTCATCTGCCTCCTCTGGCCTGCGTAGGTGTGTGTTTGATCAGATTTTTCACCAGCTGCTGCAACAAATGCAAACAAACACACCACTTTCATCAGATGTCTTGATTGACTGTCGTATGGAAACACATGATATTACATTTCTTGTTTTTTTTCCCAGCCGTGGTTCGCCTACTGCAAACCAGTGAGAGAACCACAGACAAGATATAAAAACATAAAAATATGAAAATCTCAGTAGCTGCAAATTCCCCACTTTTGAACACTCCCATCAGTCTATCAAACAAAAAGAGGCTTTAATATGTACTTCAAGTTGCTGTTTGCATATTTTCATTAATCTTTTATTCTAAGGAAACGGTTACTTTGGGATGAAATGTTTATTATTTTTAAATCTTTCAAACCGATGCAGCTACAGACCAAGTTTTACAAATTAAACATCTGCACACTTCCTTAATAGAGTTTCTGGGCTGTTCTTTAACAAGCTGTTGGGTTAAAATTGTGAACCGTACAGGAAAGGGGCAGATAAATCCACAAAGTGATGATAGAAGAGACGACTGAAGGTATCAGTACCCCGCTGCTGGGAAACCAAATGCAGGAGTTTTATCTGATATGTAGATTATGATGCGATTACAGCGCTTTGCATTTATTTAGCTGTTCCGCTGTTGAAGCTGACAGCCACTCAGGTTTGCAATAAAGTTGAGTCATCTTAGTAGTCACGCTGGGCATGTTTCGCCCTTTGGTCCTCAGTGTTACTCCTTTTTTTATATTTTCTATGTAAAGGACAATTTCTGTCTTTATTTCAGACATCATTTCTCAATATTGCACGTTACCTGCTCTCGCTCTCCCCATTAAACACACACGCAGATTGCCAGACAGATGGATATGTAGATGCATGCATACCTATAAAGCTGGGGGTTGGTTTTTTTGTTTTGTTTTTTTCAAACCCTGCCTTGAGTTTTATTCTCTTATCTTTAGGGTGGATTTCCGGCACATTTGTTACCCACATCCTTTGCCGTGATGGCCCACACAAGCTTCTGCCCTCGTAACACACACAACTTACCACCCCCAGTTTCTGAGATTAAAAACTTCCTCCTTTTTTTGATGATATTTGTGCTTCAGAGAGGCTGGTATCTTGCGTGAGAACAATATTAGTGGTTTTGTCTGGCGTCTCGTCTCTGCAAATAAGTAGCTGTGTAAGTGCTAAGCTAAACTGCTTCCTCATTATTAACTATCAGCACACTGATCCAGCATTTGAACCTGAGGGGACTAACGGCCAATCAGATGCCACAGCATGTAGCAGGATTGAGAAATAGCACTCTGGTCTGAACTGTTTCACCACAGAGGCTCAGTTCTGTCCTACAGGCCCTCCCGCTTCCCTTTCTCAAATGTTCATTTTCACAACTGACAGACGGGAAGAGGACTCGTCCCCCAGGCACATTTTGTTCTACTGTGTCTTGAGCTACTTTCAGCTGGTTTAAAAAGTCTAACTCTACAGCTGAATTTGCATGTAAAGGGACACAAAAGGAACGTGCATGTGCATGAGGGGTCAGTGGAACTTTTTCCCCTCTGATCTCCAGTCTTAAAATTAAGATTCGCCAATTGATTAAACCCTGTCGAAACAAGGCTCTGGGACTTTGGATGAAAAGCTCAAAACTAAAATTAAGTAGATAAATAAGTACAGCAAGGCCAGAGACAGCATACTTTTTTTATTTAGGCATTTTTGTTTCGCGTGTGTTGTGATGGCTGTTTGTTATTGCTGGAGTAATGAGCAGTGTATGAGGAACTATTAGAGGCATTATTCAGAGCTAGTTCAGTGCTCGACTGGGGAGAGTGTAGTGCTGGTTTGTTTTTGTAGCAGCAGTTGCAGATGTCCATTAAAACTCACGCATGCACGCAATAAGTAACAAAAGTTACATGTGGCTGTGCAGAAGAAGCATATTGTGGCTTTCAGCAAGTGACTGAACTCACAGGAAACCAAATACAAGACATAAATAAACCAGAATAAAAACATTTTATGCTATCTTTGTCAGAACCAGTTTCAGTTTGAAACTGTAAGAGTGCATAAAACGTTATCTTTTTTTTCCACACTCCTTAAAGAGCCTGTTTGAAATTTAAGACTTGGCTTTAGGGTAAAAGTCAGAATTGCATTTAGATGAGAGTTTTTGAATGTCCACGCAAAGATAGCCAAGCAGCCATGTCTGTGTCTGTGTATGCATGCACATCTCTCCACACACAAAGTGGTGTAGGCAGAAAGTCTCTCAAGGGCAAGGGTGTCAGACCCACTTTAGTTAATGGGCCACTTACAGCCCAATTTGATTTCAAGTGGGCCAGACCATTAAACCTATTGTGTGGCAGCCTACCTTTCTTTCAGTGTGAAGACGTGCATCCATTTACAGTAATGATTTTAAAAAAACCGCCTGACATGAAAAATATATAACTGTCATTTTAACAGTATTTCCTAATGCACATCCATTACAGTTTAACTTCCATCTACAAAGCCACAAAATCTTCTCAGGTAGAAGTTTTTGGAACTCTGCAGCAGATAAGAAGGGAGTCTCTGCTCTCAACAACAGATCACGCTGCCTGCTGAAAGTACACTGCATCCTAAAGGACTCATCTCCCCTGCCTATCTGCTGTTTGAATGTCAGCCCTCAGGCAAACATTTCAGGTCCATCAAAGCATGATGGACTGCACGATTAATCTCAGATCCATCACAGTGAGCTCTGCTCTGAAATCACCCACACTAAAATCAATAACACATCAAATCTACAAGCACCCAGGGCCACACTATTTATTGTTATTTCTTGTTTACTATATATACACAATTTTCTTACACAAGTGCAATAAAACTGCTATGGGCATTTTTACTATCTTAAGCATACAAGAATATATGGAACTGTGTGTGTTTTGCTGAACAAGCATGCTATTGTCTTCTATGCACACCTGAGCTAAATGGACTGATTCTTATATAGCGCTTTTCTACTCTCCCGGAGTACTCAAAGTGCTCTACACAACATGCCTCATTCACTCATTCACACCCACTCATACAAGCACTCAAGTGCAACTAATAAACATTCACACTCCGATGAACGCAATTTGGGGTTAGTATCTTGCCCAAGGATATTTGGCATGCAAACTGGGGGAGCCAGGAATCAAACCACCAACCACGATCAGTAGCGGATCTGCTCTACGACCGGAGCCACAGCCACCCAGGTAGTGTGCAGGATTTCTTTGTGCATTTTTCACACATTGACAATAAGTGAATCTAAACAAGCGCAGTATTTTACCCTTTCAGTCAAAGACATTCTCAAGACCTAGAAATACATTGCAGGCCAAGAGCTATAAAACTGAAGCTATTATTGACTTAGCATAATTATCATGCTTTCTGAGGTTATTAAGCAATTAGTATTTAGTAATCTAGATTCGGGGTCGGTTCTCACCTTCAGGCCACATGTCTGACATTCCTGGTCTGGAGGGAACTCACACTAAGTATGACATGAATAGGACAAACAGCTCACACATACACACACAACTGAAAGTTCTCAATAATGCTTTTAAAGGCATCTCACAAGAGCTGGCCCCAGAGGTCATTTCCAAATCTTGCAGTCTATAAAATCACCGGACTTCACCTCAGGTGACATCGTGCTACATACATTAGCGGGTAGACTGCTCCCAGTGGCCCATCATCTCACACGTCAGATGCAGTGAAGTGGAAATTTAAGCTAGAAAAGTCTCATGTTCCGCGTTGGATTTTTTATTTTAAATTGAGTAGAAACATCTTGAGACGAGGCGTGATATATATATAAAAACAAAACAAAAAAAACCTGGAAAATATTCTGTTAATTTCCCTTTAGTCATGTACCTGCATCACCTACTTCCAATTCTGAAGCTGCTTTTCCACTTAAACATTGTGAGAGAAGGTGGTTTATAATCCAGCTTACTAAGAATTGTCATAAACTATTGTGACAGTAGAGATGGCAGTTAAGTTTATTAGTAATTAGTTCACGAAGCACAAGAAGCAGAAACTGAAGCAAACCTGTCAAACCCACTTGTGCAAAGACTAAAACAAATTCTCCACTTAGTCTTTATGTCAACAGCAGTCTTTAAGCTTGTGGGTGTCATGCAAATATTTGCAACAGCAACCACACGCCTAGCCTAATCTCCTGTGGTGTTAATTGCTGAGCATCAACTGCACCCTGCTTGTTTGGGCCCCACATCTCCGTTATATAGCTCTTCCACACATTGTGCACTAAAGACAATTATCTTGACTAATTAAACCCTCGTTACACATTTGGCCCATTCACTCCAACCCCATATTTTAAGCACCAACACACACGCATAACAATCCTTTATAACGACGTCCTTTCCTCTGCTTCTCACTAGAAAAACGAGGATGAGAGGGCCTGGCTTTGACACATGTCCACATACCATCGCTCACCAGCATCGTCACTCCTAATGCATCTGTGAACGAGCAGTAGAGGACAAAAGGGATCAACCCAACAGAGCCAATGAGAGAGTGACCACCATGACCTCATGGGTCAGCTGGGAGCCAGGAATGAAAAGACTCCAAGCGACCCCCGCCCAACAAACGCTCACACACCCCAACACCCAGCGAGCCTTTGGACAACTGAAGCCGCCATGGGAATATGGTAGTGTGGAAGAGTAGGAATCAGCATTCGCCTGCAGGAGCTGAAAGAAAGCGGTTGTGTTTGGAATTCTGGGTCATGCCTTTCTCTGCACATTCCTCACTATTCTCACAACAATAAACTGTGTCAGAGCAGATACAACAGCTTCCATTCTGGATATCTCACACCACAAAAAAAGCCTAAAGCATCCCAAGCCGCACGCTAACCTCCAGAACTCGGCTGATAAGATTCTTAAACGGTGGAAGAGTTGTGAAATTATAAAAGCTTACTATATTTAAAAGCATCACATGGAGCAGAGCACATCTCCACCAGGGGAAATTACAGATTGTGTGTACACTCGGGGTCTTGGCACTAATTTAAGCTTGGCAGCTACAATTCCCACAAACAGTTGTGGCTTGGGGAGGAAAATAGCTTTTCAAGCAAGTTCTGCACAAAATAATATGCATATAATCATCAGCCACAGGTTTTATTTTTGGGAACCGTGACCTCGAGTAGAGAAGACAAAATATGATCAGCCTGAGTCATCTGAAGTCATTATCAAAGTTTTTTCTTACAAAATGTTCTGCAACGCAATTACAGTGATCATTGGTGTTTTATTCAGCTGTCAAAATTAAACTCGTGCATGCAGTACAAACTGGGACATCCTTCATTCTGAACATAAACTGAACATGCAAAAATAAATAAATAACTTAGAACAAACAAAAAAAAACTTCTTATGTACAGCCATAAAACACTGAATGCTACCGAATGTAGCTAAATGTCCATTGGTCTACCCATTTAAACAGGAAGAGGTGCAACTACAGAACCAATACACTTTGGTCTTAAATTCTTCACTCTTTGGGGTTGCTTGCTGTTTTCTTTGGCACTTTAGTTTGGCAGTAATTATTACTTTAAGTCTTTAGTTCTGCTGTCTGTGAACAGTTTGCCGCTCACAGTTTGCTCTCCTCCTCCTCCAGTGGTCGGTTTAAGCCGGGGATGAATTTGAGGAGGCGTCTGCGGAAGCTTTTCTGTTTGGGCTTCCTCTGCAGCGTGGCTCCCGGCTTCTCCCCCGGAACGGACGACGACGACGATCCTTTGACGTAGCTGCGAGTGCTGGCGCTGCGGGTCAGCTGCGTCTTGGGCGTTGAAAAGAACTCGCTGGTCGGCCGGAGGCGCTGCAGCTTCGGTAACTGTTCTTTCTTTTTTTCTGCACTGTCAGAGTCCACGCTGCCATCCGCCTGATATATGCAGGTTTGGTAGAGAGGGTCATCCTCGGTGGCCGTGCTGAGAAAGCTGGCGCTGCTGCTGGTGCTGCCTGTGCAGTGCAGGGCTCTCTGAAGCGCAGGGCTAGGAGCGCCGAGGCTGCCATACACACCGGCTGACTCCAGGGACTCATACAAGGCGGCGTCACTCATTACTATACCTGCGGTGAAGAAGGGCAGCGTGAGGACATGGGAAACTGACCAATTGTAAAGAAAACATGAATAATAAATGAAAAAAACACTGCCTTAATTTTCTGTGAGTCTTGTTTGCCTCATTTTGCACAAGTGACCACCCGACTATAGCAACGAGCTGTTTGTTTTCTACTATGTAATCAGGACTTCCTGCAAAGCAGCAGTCATGCACATCCTGATTCTCTCCCCCTCAAGAAAGAGGTAATGTGATTGGTACAGTTGGTTATCAGGATGACATAAAATGCTCTGGATACATGTACATGAACTTGTTTTTAATTAATTTATGGTTTGTTTTTTTACATTTGGGATTTAGTGTGACCTGGAATTTGACTACATTTTGGAATCTTGTCTGGATGTGGAAAAAGTACTAATAAAGTAGAATAGAAGAATGCAGACTCTGTATGCATGTACAAGTTGAGCTGCACAAGGCCAAAAAAAAAAAAAATCACCTACCATGAACAAGGCGCTGCTCCTGCACCATCAGTGAGCGATATTCATCCCATTTCTCATGAAGCGTTTGCTAAAAGACAACACAAGATATTGGAATTGATTACAAGAGGAAAACAAAACAACACAACATACAGACAGGAAATCCACCGCCCTCATGTGCAACCTTTAAAAGCAATAAAGCTAAATCATCTGAGCCCACACCACAGGTGTACTAAACAAAAAAATAAAATAAAATAATAATAATATTAAAAATACGGTGCCAGTTTAGATCAGTGCTTGAGCAGGCAACCAACATGCCACGTGGCTAGAATTAGAAGCTACAGACTAAAACGGAGTTGAAGATGGTAAATCTACATGTCATAGACTGTTAACTGAAGTTTAGACTTGTCATCGTTGCATAAGCGGCCTTCACTCATTTCACTTTTTTTTTTTTTTTTATCTTTTCATAAATGAGTCAACAACCACGTCACATTTATTTACACATTAACATTTACTTCATCTTGTGCGTCAAACGTGCCGTGTTCAGCAGCAGGTTTTAAAATGTTGGTTTATTCTCTCAGGCAGCTGTGTCGCTGAGGATTAGAAAAAGGACAGCTGCTGTAATCTTGGGGGAAAGCTCGCTCACTTAAGGCCACTTCACAGGCAGCTCGAGTCAAGAATGTGTGCAGCCATCAGTGGGCCTGCTGCACAAACTGCAAATGTAACAGGTGGCGGTGCTGCTGGAGGGACAGGTGTGGAGGGAGGGAGGTGTGGTGTCTATATCCAGCGTGTAACTTAATGTTTAAGCGGGTGCGCGTGTGTGAGAGGCTGCTGGACGCTCATCCGTTCTGACTCACCACTGACAAACAGTGAACAACTCACCTTTAGATACTGCAGCCGGGCCTCTAGTTCAGCTTTTCGAATTGAGTCACTGTAAACCGTCTCCAGCCTTTAAACGAAAAACCAGAAGGCAGTAGAGTTAACAGGCGTAGCAGGAAGCGCATAAAAACTACAAGGGCAGAAAACAGCGATTTAAAAAATAAATAAATAAAACTTGACCATATGAAAGGCTCTTTTCATAAAGTTAGTAACAGGAACGGGTTTGGTTTACAAGCAAGGGGGGAGAACAAGAAACACAGTTTCCACTTAAGTGCCGCAAATCTGTTCAAATAACATGAGCGAGAGAACATACAGAGCTCGTTTTCACTCTAACAGCTTTTACTGACTTGAACTGTAAGTATAATTTGATGATGTCAGTCTGTAAAGTGTGTCTACACTGGCGCTCTGATGCGGTTCGCCTCACTTCTTCTGCATCAGCTCAGAGAATCTTACACCATGCTAACTTTCTTTTAATCTTTTACAAGCAGAGAAGGGGGTTGAAGAAGACTGTGTGGTTCAAATTAAAAACACCCACTCAGCACACCGACAGATAAGGACTCTAAACGGCGATGTGCCAGATAATAAAGCTGAGGCACACAAATTATTCTAAGAGAGTTAAACGAGTACAAGACGGAAGGATTTTTTAAGTTAACCTCAATTATTTTTCAAGTTTTTCCTGGACTCCAAAAACAGAAATAGCATCTTCTGATTGTTTTCCTATCCTACTGAACATTTATGCAAGTGACAATAAAAGCAAACTGCCACGTTTCATGCCAGTGCAAATGTTTACCATCTGCATTGTTAATGAAAAACTGTAACTAACATCTTTCATGTTACCTTAACAGAATTCAGGATGTACCGCCTCTCTGACGTTAATCTCAAAACCAAAACGACACTTTTGTGAGAAATTATTCTCATCTTTCCTGATTTGGCCCTCTGTTACCTTTCAAACTTCTTTGGTTTCTGTTCCCATGTGAAACACATTCACTTTTGTTAGAGTTAGAGAGGTGAACCATGAAGTGAGCATCCTGTCAGCTCTATCAACCGTTTAGCCACCGCGATGAACTGAGCATACTTATTAACAAATTCTGAGGAAAGTGTTTTGAAGCCACTGTTGTTGGGTTTTGTGAGTCTGTGTACCTGAGCGAGTTCCCACTGGCTCTGATGAGCTGAACGATTTCCTTGTGTCGAAACCCCTCCACGGTGGCTTCGTTCACACTTGCGATGGTATCCCCTGCACAAACACAAATATACAAACGTGTATGTTAGCCAGCCGCGCCTCACGAAGCAGCCAGATGAGGCACACTTCTGAATGAAACCTCAACACATGTGCGAGACAAATGTGGAAGGACTAGTTCGTGCCTTCGTGGCATATGGCTCGTCACAGGACCGCAGAAAAGCGTTTATTTGCCATTAAACCGTTTACATCTGGGTAGCTGTAAAGTCGTGTATGTCACAAAGTTCTACTTCAGTTTCATCAAAGCAGGAAAAGATGCGGCGTGGATACTCATGTGACAGCATCTTTTGTGAGATTTTAGCCTACTTTGACCTTTCAAAAGAAAAAAAAAAAAAAAGTCCCCACTGCGATGAAGTCATTGTGTTCACAGCAAGACTGAGAGTGGGGGGGACAATGGAGCGAGTATGCAAGGAATTTAGGAAGTGAAACTAAAGTGACAGACGCAGGTTGAAGAAAATGGGCGGTAAGAGCAGCAGCACATAATCTCCTTCCCTCTTTTTTGACATAATGGAAACATAACACTGGGTGTGGACAGCTTGTGACTGACCAATCACAAGCCTCAAAGACTGAGATAATTCACTTGATAAAATATTTTCTTGTCTTTCCCCAGTCTCTCAAAAACACAAAATATGAATGCACTTCCTGGTTTAATTAATTAGTTATAACACATTAGCTGTTTGTAATTTTGACTTCTTTTTCTCATTTTTTTAAAATTCATTTTATTTTGTTTTTTTAAGAAGGAAGCCAGACATTAAAAAAATATCACTTCCTTCAAAGTTAATTTGCTTTTGTGTCATTTGCCACGTTGGTGAGTAGTCGATCACCAGCTTGTTTGTTGACTGGGAAAAATGAGTAGGGATACAGTCTTCTTTGTGCTTCCCTAAACAACCAACAGAAACTCACGAGTGCTTATGTTGACGCACGTTACACAAGCGTCAGCTGGCAAACAACGACCTGAACCGAAGCCTCGTGTCACGCTCGCTTCCCCTCGAATCTATTTCAAGTTTTTCTCCAGGTTATTTTAGGCTTAAATACAGCTCAGATAAAAAGAGGAAAACATACAGAAGGAGGAAGTTTGCTTACCAACTTTAAGTCCTGCTTGCTGAGCCGGGCTGTCATTGTGGACCTTACACACAAACGTACACATCTCTACAGAGTTTTGGTCCTGATGGTGAAGACCGTAAGTCTGAAGGAGACAGAAAAATCACACTGAATAAAAGGAACTCACACACACACACACAAAAACTTTCCCAGCCTAGGTGCCGTCTTATACGTGTTGTAAATGAATGTGGCAACGCTGAAAAGCCACTGAATAACCGGCAGAGGAAGTCATGACAGACAATGCAGGAAAGAAGATATCACTGAACACGCGGAGATGTGACGCAAAGAAGCAAATGAGGTTTTCTTCCCCTCGTCTGATGAAACATGCCCGGTTGGTGCGCGACACTGAAGTTATTTTAATGCCCCGCTCATCACAGTTCACAAATAATAAATAATAAAACACAAAAAGACAAATTACAGTTGTAAAAACTCTTACTGTTCTATCATCACATGACCAATTTCATAACCAGTTGTTGGGTTTTATTAACTGCTGCAAGCAAAAGTGACAAGATTGGCAAAAAAAGTAAAATCAAAAAGTAATTGCTGTAAACTACTCAAGGGTAATAAATGTCCTCTATAACAAGTAGTATTTACTTTTGAAAACTTCAATCTGACTCCAGGATATTGGGTTGTATTTGCTACTTTAACCTAACCACATGACGTGAGCATTACTTAAACTCAAAGGCCAAATATTTTGTTGTTCTGGCAACCGTTTTTGTAACTTCCATACATATTTGCATGCTCTTCCTAGTTTCTGTCACCACAGCTCCTCTACAGAAGGTCAGACCACTGCAGAACATAGATAGACTTCCCCTAGCAGCAAAACTGTTAGTCAGCATGCTGCTGCTGAAGGAGCTTCTACCTTACAAAGAAAACCAACTTCCAGCTGAGAGAAAAAAGAAAACGAAGTATCCCATAAAATAAAATTCAAGTTATAAAGGCTATCTGCTCCCGAATTCAGCCTGACAGATTGTATCCTATTCAAATCAGCCTGATCCTGCTGCTCGTTTCCTTCTCACGCAACCATGCAAATATTGTTTCAAATGCAAATATCACATTGATGTGCTCGATCCTCGACTCCCAGTATTAACAGAGCAGACGGCGAGAGAAAAAAAAACAAACAAAACAAAAATTTGTCTTTCTCTGTCTCTTTCTCTGTGTAGCATCAAACTTGTCCTCATGATCTCACTTCCTTCTGGTCAGGAAGGGTGGGAACGTGCAGCAAAAATCCAGAAATAGAACGATATAGTTATATCACTTCCTCAAAGAAGTACTTCAGTCCAAGAAGTCTAAAAAGACCGCCAAAGCACGATAATGTGAAGATGTACTCGCACGCTTTAATCATTTAGCAATCTATTTAAAGAATGAGGTCTGAGCAACAGAGCCGATATTGTGAGGTAGGGAGCTTCAGGGCACACGAGTGAGATCAGAGACAAACTGAGGTCAGAAGTGAAAAGTTTCTGTCTGCTGAGCAGGGCAGAGCGGGGCAGGTATTACATGGAAGGCATGTGAATAAACCACACTGCTCAAAATACAGATGCTGGGAGAAAAAGTACAAATAAAAGCATCTCCACAGTCATGAGATTAACATCAACGGGTTTATTGATGTATTGACTGATGTGTGACCTTTCCTACACAGAACAGGATGTACAAGCTTCTGTCACTTAGGTTTTATCATTTGTGGACTGAGATAGTGGCGGATCGTGAAAGTGGCACTCGAGAAGTTCAGAAATCCACTCCAACCCCCCAAATATCACTCCCAAACTTACCTGAATCTCAAAACCAAATGCCTCCTCTTCTTTTTTCTCCAGGACCACCACCTTCCTAAAATAAAATGATAAAAGGAACATTTTGTCACTGTTAACTGGACAAACTCTCCTCTGGGTTTGCTGCAGCCAACGCTGCTTCTTTTACATTTTTAAAGGTAGCAGTGCAAAGACCAAGTGATCGTGTAAGAGTCATGTCGGTCTAACAGTTGATGCCTAATTCTTTTTAGTCTTAAAGGAGGTATTCACCTTCTGATTCAGTTGTAGAATCAAGAAAAATAAGAAGGTTAACCGGTACAAACAATCTCAATAAACGATGGGTAAACAAGGGGGGGTTTGTCAAGGGTGTACCCAATTATAGCTGGAATCAACTCCAGCAACTCCACGACCCTGAATGGGACATTTAGTTACGACAATGGGCGGATGAATGGGTTTTATACTACGATTTGGACAAAATAGGACATTTATAGATGTCGCCTTGAACACTAGGATATAGTTAAGGAGAAGTTTTCTCTGTTTCCAACACAGCAGAGGCATAAATGTCCTTTCCTTTTTTAAATTTAATGGGGGTTACATGAACCACAATCACAGCTTTTTAGTTTTATCTCTAAACTCGTAGTCTTCAAAGCCAGCAGAGTCTGTGTAGTTGCTTTAGTTTCTGTAATTTATGCAATGGTGTGTGCTTATATTAGACATGGTCAGTTTGAAATGATAAGGTCAGGGTGTGACACTGTAGGATGTTAAAGAGCGGGGATATCCTTTAGAGGCTTATATCACCTTTCTGTCACAGGGGCCATGGAGTAGGCTGCCCAGAATGAGATAAACGATGGTGCAAATCTATTCTAGCACAGTCCAATAATAAAAGTATGGCTTATGGTTTTAGAGCTTGTTCGAACATAGCTTAATGATGTTTATTCTGACGCATCCATAAAACAGCCTTTTATGTACGTCAAACACAAAATTCAAGAGGAAGGAAGAGTGAAAGTCAGTGAGAGGTTAATGTCTGTGTTTCTCTGCATCCTTAACTAAACTGCATAACAAAACTCCTCCACTGGCTGCACAGGACTTCCTCTGTATGCAGGAGCATGTGGACGTCACATGCAGACGTACAGTAACAGTACAACGGTCTGTTGGAGTGAGGCTCAATGAATATTTATAACCTCCCTTAACAATGGCTTTAATCAGTGTTCCCCCTGTTTGAACAACTGCTAGTCACTCCGATATGAGGCTGCTCGCCCTGAATCATTTTTCTGAGGAAGATGCCATCGTGAAAAAATTCATGTGAAGGCACAGTAAGAGGGAAAAATTTAAAAAGTCCAAAAAAAATATCAGAGAAAGATGAGGGATGTTGTACCTTTGTGGTTCTGGCGTCTGCGTAAGGGGTTTCCACTTCTGTAAGCCGCCACCCTGCAAGGAGAAAACGAAACAAGATGTGAAGCATGTCACACACCTGCGTAGCTTCAAGTTTACTCATGAGGATTTCCCCCCCTCCCCCTCCGGGCATTTCCTAGGCACACCTACTGAGCACTTCAGCGATCAGTGGCCAGTCCATCCAGTCGTCTCGAATAATGAGCCAAGAGTGTTTTGGTATTGTTAAGCTACTTAACCTGCATACCAGCATGGAGATATTGTTGACGAAACCAGAAATGCGTGACTGCTGCTCTGTTTACTCATTACATCAAAACAAGTTGCACGCATACCTACAAGCATAACAGCAAATTGGCTGCCTTCAGGCACAAACTGTCAACCAATCTAAAAACTGCAGCGCTGTTTACACCAAGTTCAGTCTATTAAAAGAAGCAAATAAGACACAGAGGTGAGCACAATAACAGCATTGAGAGAAAAGCCAACTCACCAGCAGGAGCAGTTCAGGTCCCCGCCCCACCTAACTGTGTAAATAAGGCAGGTATCTGTCCAGAAGGCTCCACTAAAATCACTTGAATCAATCCACCTCTGTTCCAGCTCAATCATTTTCAAATCCTGCTCCAATGAAAGGCTGCTTTGTGCTACAGTCTCTCTGGGTAGTAAAATGTTGCTTTCTTTATGTCCCAACACTTACAGAATTGACCCAGAGGAGTCTCAATGAGTGCATTTATTCCCAAATATCCAGAGAGACCAACAGGGGTGGCTCGAGCAGGATCTCCATCCCCGAGTGTACACAATGCTGTGTTGTAACCCGGCGCACTAGCGTATGTGTGTGGGTTTAACTATGCCTCAGTCACAACAGGGCACTGTGAAAGGAGTTTTTCCAACTCTGATGTGCTCTTTGGGCAGAAACTCCAAAGCAAGTTGAGTAACAGAATTCACTGAAATCAGCTTCATGAGAGGAAAATAAAAGCGACTGATGCAGTAGCCAAACAAATTTACAGTATAAACATTAAGCATTACGCAACATGGACTAAAGGATGAGGGCTGTCTGAAACCGTTCCTAAAATCCAGACTAATATGTAGGCCACGGGTTAAAATCATTTCCCCTGAAATAAGAAGACTCAGGGCCAATTTATAACCAATCAGATCACAATCAGCCACAACATTCAAACCATGGCAGGTGATGTAAATAACAATGATCACACTGATCCTCATGCTGACCCACCCCCACCTACCTGCCCCAAAGTCAACGGCTGTCCCTAACTGCAAAACAGCTCAGGGAAGGAAGAAGACAAACAGCCCGAAGCGAAAGATCCGGGCAGGTGATCTGCATGCTGTGACTAACTGCTGTAAGTTTTAAACAAATAAGCACGTCCCTCCGGACTCTGTAGCGCATCCTGTAGCTCTGATGCAACTTACTGTTAAAATGACAACAGTGACAAACTTTCTATGAATCATCAAATGCAAATTTGCTTTTGTAACAATCTACCTGTTCTCAACTAAAACTCTTATCAGTCATGAGTCATGTGTTTAATCTTAGAGATCACTTTCATCTAAATGAAGATGTTAAGGCATAAAGAACATGGGCGAAGTCTGTTTCATGCAACATAAGATTCAGAGTCTGGGTGGGCACCCTTGCCTCTAGATGGGCTGCTATAAGATGTCCTGTGGCGCCGACCAGCCACTCACTGGATACAATAACTTGATAACCCTTTTAATAAGCTTACAGTCTCTGCTTAAATAATAAAAGGACTAATAGGAAACATACAGAAATTACTGTGTAAATGATTTTTGCCTTGTAAGTTAAAAAAAGCACTAAATAAATTTAATAAAACTTTAATTTATTGGTTTACCTGCCAAATAAATAAACTTTTGCAGGTACATTCAGCTAATAAACTTTTAAAAGGAACAGTAGCAATACCTTTTTGTAGTTTCTGGGCAGCGTCCCCCCCGAGTAAGCCAGGGTCTTGTAGTTGTAAACCTCCGAGGAGTTGCTCGGTGTGTCCATAGTCCTGCAGCTGTCCGACTTTGACGAAGGGAAATAAATGTCGTCTTGAGATGCGGGACCGCTGTCCGGTCCATTGGAGTTCACCTTCTTCAGCCTCCTGAACGTCATTGTTGTTGAAAATGAAAACTGAAAAAAGTAAAAATAACTTTCTTGGTGTCCTCCCACAGAGTCTGAAACCTGCCGAGGGAGATGCTGATCGAATTTGGAGCTTCAGCGTGGAGCCAACTACAATTTCTCTTGTTTCCTTTGAATAGTTTGGAGGCGGGGACTGTTTTGAGGAACACAAATGAGTGCCAATAGCAACAGAGACTTGCCTCCTCCGCGGTGCCTTCATGTGCACCTCGGATCTTTTCTGTTTCGTATTGAAACAACAGCAAACAGTGTTTATCAAGACAAAATAAATAAATGCCGTTAGTTTCTTAGCTGAAAGAAAGAAAGTCGAAAGAAAATCAACCAGTAGGTAAAAATGTAATCCAAAAATTCCAGAAAAGAAGACGGAGTTTCCGCTTATTTGCTAATATTTTCTAAATATTTTCACTATAGGGACAACTGATAGGACAAAACGATACTTCTGATTTTTTAACAGACCGAAAATAGAATATCAGACAAAATTATCAGCTGAAATACCTCAGCTTCTCATACTAATTGGTAGCAGTTTGAATGTTGGATCACCCACTTCAGCTTCCTTCTGTCTTTAGAAATCTTAATGAGTCTTTGCCAAAAGAGATTAAGCCTGCTGCAAATGAGTGCTGGATCTGAACCCAGGCAGCAGGACCATTTGGATAGATTTAAATCCTCTGATAAGGTGACGCAGGAAGGTTTTCATTTATGTTTATTACCAGTCCATGCATTATGAATCAATCCAATATAATAAGTTGACTGATGATTTTCTATCCTTTTGTTAAAAGTTAAAAAAAAACTATTCTGCTTATTTTTCTTTAATAACATTGAAAAACTGCTTTGATTATTTGCTCATTCATCAATTGGGGTTATTTCAAATGAGGGAGAAGCTGCAAAAAAGCAAATGTGCCTTGCAGAAATAATCGTGTGTAAATTTCATTAGAAACCTGGGGTCTTACATAATGTTCTGTGTGGCCGACTGTTTGCATTACAGTTGTGTAAACCTTTGTGACCACCAGCCATTGACAGAGTTTCCACAAGTCTGTCATTGTGTTGTTAGTGCTCACACTGCTGTGACAGCAACATTTGTTGCTTTCAAACCAACCTTTAGTTGCAAATTTAGTGTTTTTATTACTTGTTAAAATTCAGCAGGGGGAAATCTGAACAGATTATTGATCCGTGACACTAAACAGATTAATCTCTAAGATAAAAAAAAAAAAAAGTCAAAAGTCTTTCCCAGAGAGAGACTTTGATGAGAGGATGACCCAGGACTAAAAAAGTTAGCAATGCCCCCTTGTGGTATGTAAAAATTATCGAATTGTAAGAAGTACAAAACAAAAACTGAAGTCCAGGTGATTTATTAAAATCTTTACACAGTCACTTATTACATCAACATCCTTCTGATATACTGGAATGATATGATTTATAAAGCATTTAAATAAAAATAAACATGTTTAAACATATCTTAACCAATAAGTTCGAATTGAACTCATCACAAATTACAAATTAAAATCAACATATCTCAGCTTTATGCCCTCACACTCATACTGATGCACACAAACACACACACGGGAACAGCAGGCAGTGAATCAACATGCAGCCTCTTTGCTATTCCCAAAAACACTTTCAAGTATCTTCAACATCACTGAAATATAGCTTTGTCTTTTCTTCTGTCTTGGTTCCAAATTCACACAAACATATTTCTGACTTTCTTTAAAACAACAACGAAACAGCAATACTACATGGTCTATGCTCAAAGTGCATGCCTGTATGTTTGTCTACCTAAGCCATAATGAAGAGAACAGCTAATAAAGGCACATGGAGCTGAATACTCTACTCTTCGCATGATATTCAGCTTGCTTTAAGTTTCTACAGAGCAGCACTTCCACTTAGCACTCACACAGCAAGTGTTGAGTATTGATAGAAAACACTGAGAAAATTTGGTCAGAGTCATTTTTGCCACAATGCAAACTTATCGTACCATAACATTTGTATTTGTATCATGCCATGCTTAGTTTATGTGTTACAGTAATGCAGAACTTTTGAAATAGTTATCCTAACTTTGACTGTCACAATGCAGTTTTTCTACAGCATACACATCCAAACTGATTTTATGTTACAAAGAAAAAGAGTCAGTTGTCTATTTACAGCAAACACTTGCATGTCGTCAGTCTGTTTCATTTGAAAAAGCCAGATGGTTTGGCTGGAGGACCCATCAACATACAGGCTTGATTCTTGTGTGTGATTTGAATCTGTAAATTAAAAAAATATATATAAAATCAGGCATTTCAGGCATGTGACTTCATTACATTAAGCAGCCACTGTGTTTCTGTGCCTGTGCAGTGTTTACCGTGCAGGGGGGTTGCATCCACGGTTCTCCATCTATCTGCATTGGTAATGCTTTCTTTGTCCTACGTGTAGAGAGGGATAAACAGAATGCATCAGGATGGTCATGTGTCATTAAAATGTAAATGTATCTTCTTATGTAAATTAACTAACGATGATCCCTAACTATGACCCACTGTTGAAGCTGAGAGCCCAGCCTTGTCATGTCTGAACATGTCCATGTGCCTTTTTTCCCCCCTCACCTGATGGTGATCTGAGACGTTTTCGCGAGCCGCACCGCGCTCTTGAGTCCAGTGTAAATCTGGCCCATCTCCATCGCTCCTTCAAGGCCGACCACCTCTAATCGCCGATCACTGAGGTCTGACAAGAAAGCAGAGGCTAATCAGTCCAGAGAAGGAAGACAAGATTGGGCCTGAGGCAGATGCCACTTCTCATATTTAATGTGCATCAGAGTGGAGATCGATAACAGCAGCGATTTGAAGCACACCAATGTATATCAATAATCATACATAATGTATAATCATCATGCACCTGCAAACAACTGCAGTTTACGTGCACAAGTTTCTCTGTGCATGCAGTGGCAGGATGGTTGGACTCAGGTCTTGGCTGACAGCATAGAGATGAATAGTTAGGAGGAAACGGATTTGAGAAGCAAACCATAACTAACCACCAGTGCAGAGAACCTCAAGAAAAAGAAAAAAAACAACATTTTTGCAGAAGCTGGTTTCTGCTTCTTAAGATTTCAGCTGAGATGTCAACAGCTTTCAGCCTGTATGTGTCATCGTTTCTGAGAAGTTGGCTAATGTTAGCATGGTGTCATTCAAGCACTGAAGAAGCACGTGGAAACTTAGCATCCCTTCTGTGAGAAATTGGGCCTACTTCAAATGAATGCTGAAATCTTCTGATAAGATGATGGAGGGACATTACAGTACAATCAAAAGAAGATAACACATAAACATTTTTTTTGCAGATAAGAATACAGATGCATTGAAATTTTGGTTTGCTATTCTGGTGGCTCGGTATCATAAAGTTCAATAACCAGATTACACAAATAGCACCAGGTACTTATTTGTATGTATGCACTAAAACCATGCATTTAAGTGTTAATATTTTGGCAAGTAAAAAAAAAGTTATACACTTAAATGGACTATCGCTTTCAAAGAGAGAAGGGGGCTGCTACAAATAAATAGGATAAATAGGGATTATCTTTAACTGTGAATTATGCAGTAAATATGTTTGTAGTAGAATCCAAGAATAAATATATGGAGATGGACAGAAGTACAGTATAGTACAGCATAGATGACCTTAAAGGGGTCAAAATCACGTACACAGGGTTATGCTGCCCTCAAGTGGCCGGAAAAATCAGTAACTCCACATTCAAAGTTAGACCAAACATCATCATATGGGTTCCAGTTTCATTGGACTGTTATTATAATTTGTGTAATTTAGAAACAGAGGAAGTTTGGTTGGAATAAATTGATTTTTATTTTTTATTACACCCTCTAGTACTGTTGCTAGAGCACTAACTAGACTAGAGCACTAACCCCCTGTCTTTTGGAGAAAATTTGGAAATTAAAATGCAAATGACTACCGTGTATTTTGGGATTGTCTGGTTATTTAAAACTATCAAAGAGAGAGATATGGTGCCCGCAACACATTCTTAATGGTGAAATTCCTCTAGGAAGTAAGTTTATATACTCTGGATATATACCAACAGAATGGATGAAGAGAGATAAGTACTTAATGAACACACTGCTGGTGGCTCGTAAAAAGACTCATAAAGGAGTTGGTGACAGATTAAACTTTGTGAAAAGTCTAATGTGTCTATGGTGAGTCGATGAGTCAGTGAACCTTACTTCTGTCCAATGACGCTGATGCTGACGTGAGTTTGAGGATAAGCTGAACTTTTCTATCAGTAAATGCTGCTGATAACATTCACATAGTGAATAAACTTCCATATGTTGAAGGAAGGAATTTAACAAAGGGAAAATGTAATCTTTAGGACACTAAAGCAAACATAATGTTAGCTTATATCCGTCTGACGTTGTTTAGTTTTCGATGTTGCTGGTTGTCAGTTGTTGCATGTCTAATTTGCTGACAAGAAATCGTTACAATATCAGAAATAAATAAACATGTTATTGCACGTTTCTGTGTATTAGAGCCGTGACTTCAGGTCAGGAGATGAGGCTTGTGGTGAGGATGAATTTAGGTAAACTTTATACTTGCTGCTAATTATAATTTCATTAATTTCATTGTGTTCTCTCAGGACCACTGCTGTTAGATCACACATCTGAATAATACAGGTCAACTGCAAAATACCTTGGGAAGTCACTTTCAGGATTTCTGGATTGACGATCACCTCCGGCTCTTCCTGCGCCGTCAGTCCCTTAGTGTCCACTTTTTTGGTCTCACCCCACAGGTTGGACCCACCATGCATGCTAGGAATGTTTAGGATAGCAACACCCTCAAGAGACACAGCACTGAGATCCAGGGGAGTACCGCAACACTGGAGACAGTACAGCACACCGCAGCGTTAGAGTGAAATATCAGTGCGCTGTCTCTGATTGCTGTTTTGTATCGAGGCTACTTATTTCAAAGTAGCAAACTGCAAACTTGTGTGCTGTGCTCTCACCTCGATTGTTAAGTTTTCGCTCAGTTTTTTGCAGGAAGCAGAGATGGTTTCTGAAGTGGCAAATTCAAAATACCACAGCTTGTTCTTCATTCTGCCGTTAGAAAAAGCGTCTCCTTTAGGTTTACGTGATACTTCACTTTCACAGAACATTTTCTCCTTTTAGTGCACGCAGCGCTTTAGAAAGAGTAGGAGTCAAGCAGCAACACTTGCTGCCACAGACATCTGCTGTCACCTCGAGCATTCGTGCCTTTTACTGCTTTAAAAAAATCAGTAATTGCAAAGGCAAACAGGAAATATAGAAGTCATGTTGCGAAGAGAAAATTTGCTGTCTTTTAGCTCTGTTGTGTTTTTAAACTGTGCATCTGTTAAGCTATGAAACACTGTTGTATTGCTATAAGCAGGAATGCATTCGCTTTGTTTACTGTTCCTGACAATGTGCCCTAGAGACACATAATATTCAAACAAATATGCAAACCTGCTGTTGAATTTCTGAGGATGTTTTTCCCTCATTGTGTGAAACCGGTGGGCAATGGAGGCATCCTGCAAACACAAAACAATATAGCAATTATACGACCTACTAAACCGAAAATAAAACACTTCCTCTTGTATTACACATTTATGAGAAACTCACAACTCCAATAGAGAAGTAGTTGTTGATTATTTCATATGGCACTGGGTCACCCTCCTCTTGATTCTCATCAGTGATAACCTGCACGCTCCAGCGATCCATCAGCACCTGGGAGCTCCCCTCAATGTCTTTAAGAATACGGTTCAGATCTTCACCATCATACCCTTAAAGATGAAGACAAGAGAACTGTAATTTTGAGAACTTGCTGAAGCCCATTTAATTAGTGCAACCACTGTCTGAAAGCACACATAGACAGTGGCGCCATAACGTGAAAATAGTGACGTGCAAGTATTATCTTATTTACATAAGGGAACACTTCATCTCTTCGTTTCTCACCTCCTCCCCAGCGAAGGCATCGAGCAAGGTCATTTCCTGTGCCAAGAGGAAGTACAGCAACAGGTGGCCGCACCAGCAGATTGCCTTTGTCTGAATACAAAAAAAAGGGAAGGAAATACAAAGCGTGTAACAATCAATTTCACATGTGATGTTGTGAAGTTTATGCCAACAATCTCACCTATTGCATCGAGAATCCACCCAACTGTGCCGTCTCCACCGCACACCAAGATCCTGTACTCCTTAAGATTTCTGAAGAAACTTAAACTGAAAGAAATGTGAAACATATTTTGGGGGAAGTTATG